CAATAATAGAAGCATGTTCACACTTTAAATCCATAGGGACAAGATTAGAGAGAGCATTTATAAAGTACCACTAATGACCTCAACAAAATAATTTTATTTTTTTCACAGATAAAATAGAAAACAATATACTTAACAAAGAGTTTCTCTAGGGATGTCTTTATGGATATACAGCTTGAACATGCCTCTATCATTGATAAAAGAATCAGATCGTTAGCTCGAGCTGTAGCAGATATATTCAATTTTTTTTTGCAAAGTTACCTTTTTTCTAACTGTGAAAGAGTAAATTTTTCTTGTTGAGGTCAATAGTGATACTTAACAAACAGTTTCCCTAGACATGTCTTTATGAATATAAACTTGGTACATGCTTCTATCACTGATAAAAAAATCAGCTTGTTTGCTCGAACCGTAATGTAGATATTCAATTTTTTTTGGGTAAACTGACTTTTGCGTCACCCTGTATTATATTATATTTAAAAACAAAAAACAAAAATCTAATAACATACAATAGTTTCCATACATTTAAGAATAGCTATTTCACTTGCATCTCCTTCACATTGTCGTTGAACAATTGGTTTTGAAAGATTATTTGAATCTTCTATAAATCCAGCTGTATTACATAACATAGCACATCGTGCTAATGCATTCCAACAATGAGAATATATTATATTATTTGATTCTATTTTAATAAAAAATAATATTTTTTTTTTTTTTTTTTTTGTTTAAATTATTAAAATAAATAAAAAAAGCAATGTTTTTTTACGTGAATGAAGAGTATCAATATCTGAATTAGTAATATAATTATCAAACCACATATGTGCAACAGTCATTTGATTTTGTGTTAATGTTCCTGTTTTATCAGCACAAATAACTGTTGTTGAACCAAGAGTTTCAATAGCTTCCAAATTTTTAACCAAACAATTTTTTCTTGCCATTCGTTGAGCAGTCAATGTTAAACAAACCTTTAAATTAATAATTATCAACTATTGAATTTTTTTTATTTTTAACCAAATTGACTTACAGTCACTGTTGCCAAAAGACCTAAACAATATTATTTAATATTCAAATTTGTTTTTTTGTTTTCTTTTAAAATTAATTCTTAAATAAAAACAAACCTTCAGGTACTTGAGCAACAATTATACTGATGAGAAAAACAACAGCTTCAACATATGTATAACCAAGAGAAAGTGAACAAATACAAAAAATAAGACCAACAACAACGGCAATTATTGTTATTATACGAATAAAATGATTTATTTCACCTGCTATGGGAGTATTACCACGTTCAATACCTATAATATAATATTATTATTTTATTTTTATTGTTTTTATGTTAAGAATTTGAAAACAAACCAGCTGTTAAATTAGCAATTCGTCCAATAAATGTTTTATCACCAGTACGAATAACAACTCCAATACATGAACCTATTATTTCATTTATTTTATTATAAAAAGTTTAAAGAAAAAAATAAAAATAAAAATAAAAATAAAAGAAGACGAATAAAATACCTTCAACAGCAAATGTACCAAAAAAAGCTAAATTTCTTGTTTCTAATATATCATCATTAGTATATTCAATTCCTCGAGTTTGTGGTTCCGATTCACCTGTTAATGATGAATTATCAACTTTAAGACCATGAGCACGAATTATTCTAATATCAGCCGGAATACGATTACCACGATGTATTTCAACTATATCTTGAATTTTTCAATAAAATTTTATTTAATTATTTTAATAAATAAAGTTTTTTTTTTTCTTTTTTGGATTCGTTAACGAGAAAAATAAAACAAACCTCCAATAACAATTTTTTCTGGATTTATATTTCTTGACTTTCCATGTCGAACAACACAAGCTTGCTAAAATCAAAAATAAAATTTATTCAAATTAATTTAATTAAAATAATACCTGCCTGTGGAACCAAATATTTGAATGATTCCATTATTTTAGAACTTTTTGCTTGTTGATGATAGGAAAAAAATCCAGTTATTATAATAACACTAGCTAATGCTATACCTAAATACATCTATTAAAGATTTTTTCGAGAAAAAAATACGAAATTTAAATATAAACAACAAACATTATCATATTGTGGATCCTCTGATGTGTAGAGTTCAAGAAAATGAGCAATAAAACAAAGAAAAGCACCAATCCATAGAAGCATTGCAAAACCACCAAACATATTTTTAGCTAAACGAACAATTTCAGGTGTTCGTCGAACTGGTGTTAAATCATTTGGACCATCACGTTCAAAAATAACTGCTGCTCGTTCTTCTGAAAGACCCTTTAACAAAAAACAAATAAATTTTAGAAAAATTATTGAAATAAAAAATAAATTTCAATACCATAGCAGGACTTGTTCCATATTTTCTATAAACTTCATTTATTGAAATTTTATGTTCATCCTTACAAAAACAATAAATAAATAAATAAAATTTAAAAACAAAAAAGAAACAAAAATATAAATATTGACACAAACTAAATCAATTTCATTTTTAAGTGCTTCTAAATTTTTACGTGTTATTGATCTTTCACGAAACTAAATAAATAATAAAATAAATATTTTATAGAATAATAAATTGTTTAAATATACCATAATTTTAAATAATAATATTTAACTAGATGTAATATATTTAGTTTTCATTAGAGAAAGAATCAAGCTTGATGAAGCATATCTATTGACCGAACAAAAAAAAAAACACACACGTTCTAGATTATTATCTATATGAGTACTTCTATCAATATTTTACCTTTAAAATCAGCTGCATATTCGTTTTTTCTTATCGTTCTTAACGATGAATCGAATAACACATTTTCTTTTTCTTTTTTAGTTTTTCTTCACACGTTAAAATCAATTTTAAGAGATCAATTTGCTTTTTGCTTGGTGGTAATAGCCATTCTTTTTCTATATCAATATTTCATACTTTTTATTTATTGATTATCTCTGTAAATATTTAATCAAATATCAAATATCAAATATCAAATATTTATTTCTATTCAATATTATTTTCTATCTTTGATAAATATCTATTTTCTTATAATAGAACGATAAATAGAAATAAATAAATAATCATCATAATTGCATTTAAGAAATGAATAATAGGTTTTTTAAACCGTTTTTATTATTAATTAATTGTTGGTTCCTAGATTAAATAAATAATAAATTCTTAATTACACATTTCTATTTCGACTAATCTATAATAAAAAAATAATTGACAATCATTTTTGTTTTCTGTTCTATTACTGAGAAGAAAAAAAAAACGAACAAACAATGAATTACTGACAAAAAACAAAAGAGCAACAATTAACTATGCGTCGGTTTTCATCTTGATTTAAAATAAAAACAATTTTCTATTCTATAAAATATATATAACAAAAATATATTCATTAATAAGAACTTGAATATTATCAATTTTCTCGTCGAACTTTAATTCCTTCATTAATTCTATGAAAACTTAATTCTTTTTTTCAAAAAAAAAATAGTTCATATTCGATCTTGGTTATATTAAATAGGAATAATTTAGCATTGAATCATGTCATATATAAAAGAGATCAAAAGTGTGAAACATAATTGTTTTTCGATAAATTTTAACAAAATATAAAAAAATTCTTCTGAAATATGTGAATTATGTCTTCATTGATCACAGGAAGATTTTCCGATGAATCTTTCTCAACCTTGATTTAATGTCTATACGTATGACAAATATTGTTATTGTGATTCGTATAAAAGTGGTAAATGATCACCATGGTCGAATTAAACAAATATTGTTAATCAATGAAATAAATTCAATCTTGAAGTATTATATTGAATTTCATTCTTTTGACTACAATTAGTCGAATCCAACTAATATTGAGACCGAATAAGTTAGCATAAATTTTCAAATCTCGATCTGAATCTGTATTCAATGATGTATTTTTACTGATCTGTCATTTAGTTTTTTTTTTTCATACGAGCTAAATAGATTAGTTGACTTCTAACAGTTTTTTGTTTTAACTTCTATTAACTGAAATAGATTTATTAAAAATAAAATTATTCACTAGTTTAGGAAGTTGATTTCAGTATAATTATTATTGGGTGAATCCGCCGGGTTTCTACCACTTTGTGGAAAATTTTTTTTTTTACGATTTTGATATTCTAGTTAGACGGGGNATTGATCGACTATTTTTTGTTTCTTATGGCAATAATATAACAGTAATTTCAGTCGGAATCCCGGCATTTTTCTCGGAATTGTCGGGATCTTGCGGGATCCCGCGGGATCCCGCAATTTTTTGAGCGGGATCCCGCACAGGATCCCGGACGGGATCTCGCGGGATCCCGGCGGGAAATTGCCGGGATGAAAGACATGGGAGACTTCTGTACTCCGCAGAGTTCATGTACTCTTATCGGACTTGATGAACTCTATGAACTCCGGAAGTACAAGAAGTATATATGAAAACGAGGTACTCTTGTACTTGCTTGACTTCGACTGTACTTCCGGGGTCCACAAAGTACAATCGAAGTCCACGGAGTAAAAGAAGTTCAGGCAGTAGGGAAGTACTGGACTACGCCGTTTCCCCTTAGTTTATTCTCGTTGGACTCTGTACTCCACTGAACTCTATGTACTCCAGTGGACTCCGTGTATTCTACGAGTACCAGAGTACGTCGTTTTCCCTTGATTCAAATATCTGTGTAGAACAAGCAAATCCAATATTTTATGTTTGAAAAGATTATAAGAGCAAATATATACTTGAGTAATTTAACTTCGTATATGTTTTTTTTTGTTTCTTTTATCTATAAGAGAAAAAAAGAGTCAGTCATGTTATATATCATTCGTTTCTTTTTTCATTATGTTGATAAAATTTCTTATCAATATATCATAGAAAAGTAATAATAAAGATGACATTGAATAAGCTCTTGACTAATAAATAAAATTGCAAATCATTGAATAAAATTTATGATATGATTCTCTTTTAGGTTTTAACAATCAATATAATCTATAAATAGGAAACAATTGTAATCAAATTGAACATACAGACAGTTAGAATAAAACATCATTTACAGTTTTCGATGCTTATCGATCAAATAAAAAAACAACGAAGTTACAATAGATTTTCATTTTTCTGTCATTATTCAATTGATAAAATTCTTTTATAAACATTATTTATTTTATTTGTTATAAGTTGAATAGGTTTTTTAGTAATTAATGTCTTTGACATGCATCTAAACATGGATATCTGAACAGAAGAATACAACAAGTAAGATACACATAAGAAAAGTTTTGTGCTCAACTTTTTCTCACATATAGAGAAAAATAATAAAATAGTAGAATGAATTTTCTTTATTTTGAAATATTTATTTTATATTAAAATATTCAGTAAGAGAGCCAACGAAAAGATAAAGAAAATAATTCAATGATATTTAGTTATTTTTTATTTTCGAGATGCATATTAAATAATGTTAAAGATAATTTATTTTCCACATTGTTCTAATGTTTATTTAATTTTATCAAAACTCGGAATTTTTCTCGGATTAGCAAGTAATTCAGCATATCTAATTATTTCTTGTTTATCAATAATAAAAGCACTTCGTTTTGTAACACTTTTAAGACCAAATAATGGAAATTCATCATAACGTGAATCATATTTTCTAGAAACTTCTTTATTAAAATGAGATAATAAATCAAATGGAAGTTTTTGTTCTTCACGATAATTTTCCTAATATAAATATTGAATCAACGGAAATGACAATAATTCTTGCATTTTATTTTTCATATTTTTTAATATCATCTCGAGTTGAACATAATTCTTATGTACATACACTAGTAAATGCCAATGGCAAAAACAAAAGAACAACATTCGATTTTGATGTTAAATCTTTAAGAGAAACTTTTTTTTTTCTTCTATTCTATAAAGTAAAGTCAGATGCTTGTTGACCAACTTGAACTGGCATTATTCAGTGATAATACTCTCAATTATTTAAAAATATATCTGAAAACATAAAATAGATTTTTTTTAAACAATCAGTTATTTTCACCAATGAATTGTTTTTCTCATAGTATGAAAAATGCAATATCTTCTAATTTATTCTCTAAAAAAAAATATATCGCTTGTTAGGATCAACAATACGAAGTTTCCAATATATAGTTTACTAGCATATACGTTCCATATTGCTCCGCATACAATTATTTTTCAATACTTTAGATTGATCAACATTAATATGATATATCTTCGTAATCATATGTAAAGTTATACAAGCATCGAGGAAAAAATAAGAAATAAAACTGACTTGTCTGCCTTTCATCAGTTTAACAACTAAAAAGTAAAATCAAGGTTAATTGTCATTATTTTAGATAAAATGCAAACAAAAATACAATAGTTTTCATTTCTATCAAAACTAATATTGTTTAAACAAAATATTATTCAAGTTCAAGTTCGAAACCAAAACGATTTAAAATATCTTTAAATCGTACTTTGTCATATACAGATAACATAACTGTACCATTTGTCAAACATCCCGTCTTGCTGATCTCAAGCAATTCTTTACCATTGACATTGCTTTTAAACCATTCTTCAGCTAAATGATGAAACATTGTTTGTTCGATCCATGTTTTAACATCTTTAATTGTTAATTGTTTTATTAAATCTTTGGCCGATTCTGGACACGATTCACTTGAAGATGTAGATGATGAAGTTTGTGGAGGAGATTTCGAGCTTTTATCTTGTTTACCTACAAAAGGGAAAAAGCAGAAAGACAATTTTAAACAAATTTTTTATTTAGTTTTCTTTCCAGGAATGCATTTTTATAAAAAATTAACTTCCGAATTCGAACAAGTAATGCAATAGATTCTGTTTTACTATTCACAACTTATCACCTTCAACAACTAAACTTTTCTCCTCGTTATAGCTTACAGATCGAACTTCTTCTTTTAAGCTTTTATTTTTTTATGATGCTTACATGTTTTTGGACATCGAAACAGAGCAGGAGGTGGATGTCTTTGATCCCTTTGATTATCTGATTTTATCATAAATATTTCTTTTAACTGTTGATCAAGCATATATTCCTTAACAAAATATAAATCGATTGTTCGATGACAATCAAATTCAATATCAAGTGAAATACGTTGTCTCCACTCGACCCAACCAAAAATACCATGTTTTTCAGCAAAAGATTTCAATTGACCACGAATATCATACGTATTAATATACTTCAAATTGTACGATAATGTTGTTCCCCACCAATCGTCCTCAGGTAAATCAATGCAATAGAATAATGCTTCATTATAGAAATCTCGAACACTGCATGGTAAAACATCAGGTACATGATTTTCTACTAAATAATTCATTAAACATTCGAATTTCTTTGGATCACGATCAGTATGGTAAAATCCATCTTCTGAATTTGGTTTATCGTTGATTAATCGCCACAAAAATTCTGAACGCATTACTGTTGTTTTCGCCATTTCAAATAAACGACCTCGTACAAAAATTTTAACAAAACCTTGAAGATCATTTCTCTTCGTTTTCTTATCCATTGATTCTTCAATATCGGCAGTATCATCAGCTGTTGTATTGCTGTCTTCAGCCTGAACTGTTGATAATTTTATATTGCTAGCCATATCTGACGAATATTTTGACTTTATTTATAAATCTAGAAGCAGAGACCTAAATTGTTTAAAACAATCTACATAATACTGTGCTTTAAGAGTCATAAACCTATCAAACGATATTCAATGAAGAACAATTTAAATATCAACTCATTAACGCTTATTTACGTTTGAATCGCTCACTTCAATAGTCTACTCCACTATAGTAGAAGAAACTACGTTTCCTTTTCGTGCTTCTTTTCGGTAACAAACTGTCGAAAAGTAGTACAAGGAAAATAATCTTTTATAATTCTCTCATATTGTGATTAACAAAAACGTGTGGCTACTGTCCTTTGTTTTCTTACTGGAAGAAAGGCTACCTTGAAAAAAAAAACATAATAGTCATTTGTGACTATGAGTATCCATATTATATTTGGATAATTATCAGCAAATAGATAAACAGGAACAATGATGTCACTCGTGCAGAGGGAGAGAAAGGTCGATCTATGCAGATGGATAAGAAATCTATAAGTTCGTTTTGAAGATCGGTCTAAATTTTTGTCTTGTGAGATAATTGATTCAAATGATAAGTTTAATGATTAAAAACAACAAATTAACAAAAGGAATTTTTGGAAAAAATAACTTTCATATATTTATTAAGTTAATTTCAACTGTGGAGCATTTTCAAAAAAATTATTTTAATAAAATGAAATGTATTGATTCAGTTCAATGTTTTTCTAATGCACAGCTAATTTCATTGACAATAATGTTTTAATTATTTTATATCAATAAAAAAAAATATAAACTATTGAATGTATTTTTTTTTATCTAAAAACACGAAAACAATAAGAAATGATTTCAATTAAATTTACTTTTTTTTCCAGCTAATTTAAACAGAAGTAAGAAATTCGACTAATAATTTAAGTGATGATAAATTTAATAATAGTAAAAATTTTAATAGAGTAGTAAAAAAAAGTTCAATAAAATATATGTTGGAGTTTTATCATAATCATAGAACAACTAAAATATTTTAGATTTTATTTGAAAATTGAAAAAAAAATTCTTTTAGTTAGGAAAAATATGATTTGCTTATTTTATTGAGAAAAACTATCGAATAAATCTAATGGTTTTCCTAGTGTTATATACTTTTATACAGTCATTGTCTGATTACGAATCCTTCTTAGAAAGTTGTTCTTAGTACATATAACGTACACTTAACATACGTTGGCACGCATTCGGTTCGTGTATCGCACACGAATTGAAACATACCGATATGCTGTACCGTTTGACAAGATATTTCTTTTGTGAACAACAGTTTATGATATGTACATTAAGAAGGTATTAAGATAATAACTCAAGTAAACATAATTTAGGTTCGATTATTAATAACGGAGTTTGTTAATTTAATCATCTTTGAGTATGATGTAATAAGAACTTTTCTTTATTTTAAACATCTAATACAATAAATGGAAATCATAAATTATGACATTTGAATGTGATAATTTTATCTGTAATATAATTGAATATGTAGTGTCACTTTTTCTTTTATCTAAAAGTTTAATTTCAAATAAAATCATCAAAATTTTCGTTCATGAATGATAATAATAAAGTATAACTGTCAATCGAATAATAAATATAAATAAAAATGAAGAAAAAGATTCTTATTTCACTTGAAGAGTGGATGAGAATTGACTTTTTCTTATAATAATCGATCATGAACGATTTTCGAGGGCATGGTAAATTCCGCTTTCCAGGAAATTCAAAATTGGCTGCACCTAAAGTGCAGGAGATTGCAAATAACAGTATTGGGTTGGGTTGGGTTGGATTGGGTTGCGAAATTCATTTTCGCTTACAAGTAATCATAGATAATATGTGCATTTATTGAGGTTGTCATAGGGTAAACTTTAGTTCGGAATTCAATTTTAGCTGACAGCCATAAATTGCCTACCAGCTTCTGCAAGTACTTGCTGCCCGACATTCGGTCATCCAAGACGCTCCCAACAACTATTAATCAAAACCTGGACGTAGTGAGCACAACGCTCCCATGCAAACTGGAACCCACCATCGCACCCACATCCACAAGCCACATCACACGCACACTCTCAATTTCATCCACACACATCCCACACATACTCCCGCACACCCACACCCACATCCACATCCACACTCCCATACCCTCAAGATTCCTTCCGTGGCACCTACACTAAGAGATGTGATGTCTGAGTGCTTCCGTGGCACCCACACTAAGAGATGTGATGTCTGAGTCCTTCCGTGGCACCTACACTAAGAGATGTGATGTCTGAGTCCTTCCGTGGCACCCACACTAAGAGATGTGATGTCTGAGTGTTCTTTCTCGGTACTTGATCTGAACACCTCTTGTGTTATGCGCTACCTGATAGATATTGTTAGTCGCTGGTAGCCCGTTGTACTGTGTTGTAGTCCATGATGGTCCCTGGTACCTTATGAATATGAAAAAAGATAAAGATAATTATAGTGCCTCGTAGTCCCCGGTTATTTTTTCGATTGTTCCGGATTATTTTGTAATGCATATCCGTCATCCTATGCCTACACCCACACCCACACCGACACCCACACCCTAATGAAGCTTCTGAAAACAGTGTGTAATAACATAAATTTTCTTACCCAATCTAATCCATTGCCCATGGATATGGATATAGATATATATTTACAAATAAAATTGAATTTCCCAACCCAGCCCAGCCCAACCCAACCCTAACTTAGACTTCAACTTCATTTCTTTATTCTTTTTTTAATTAGACGAGTTTTCTATGATTATCCTTAAAAGCATTCGATTAAATTTCTATGAAATTTCTCCTATAGTCACTTTATTTGAATTTCCTGGAAAACGGATTTTACCATCGCATGAAAGAGAGAAACTGTTTTTTATTTAAATTTTCACTCATATTTTATTGAGAAGAAATAATCAAAAGTATCTAAAATAACTTTTTAAATAATCAGTAATCTATGAATTAACTCTTTGTAACTGTATATTGGTAGATTTAGACCTCATTAGAAAAGATACTGAATACTTCAATCATTCTTTCGTTTAAGACGACTGTACACGATCAAAATGCCTTCTTACATCCATTCTAGAAATCAATTTGTCAGCTGATTTATCGGCATACCACATTGTACTATGGTATGGAGAAAAAAGGCAGAGCAAACTGAAATTATCTGTTTAAGTCTAAGGCGTAAAAACTACTTTCTGTCTTTCATAAAACGCCTTTATCACTATCATTATCGAACTATTATTCTTTGTTTTCTAGCATGGAACAAGTACATGCAGAAAAAAATCGTCTGGAGCCAACAAACTCAATAAAGTTACTGCTCGCGACTTAATAAGCATGGTTATTTGTGACGGTTCTCTTGAAGACTGCTTCTTGGGCATTTGTGATCGATGTAATGATGTTCCATCGTCATCGGTTTTGCTGGATTATCTTATTGGAACTGATGAAGATGATATATGGTCGTGGTCACTTTGGAAAGCAGTTGACAAAAGGATGCATCTTCACGAGATTCGAGGCACCATAACATCATTGCTTACTGAAATTAACGAACAGTGGTCGACTTTTCTGCTCCATAGCTACATCAACCGCGAGCAACGTGCATTTATGATAAGATTCGATCAGAAACGAGCGAAAAGTTATTTGTCGTTGTGCAAATGGATTTCGCCGAAAACTATACTTTTGTTCGGCAACGACATACATGTAATACTTGAACCTTGAATTCAAGTATTTCAACTATTTCAACTATTTCAACTATTTCAACTATTTCAACTATTTCAACTATTTCAACTATTTCAAGTATTTCAACTTCAACGATTCCAACCACATATGACTCACATGAGCTACACGAACACACAAGCGTCGCAGGTGAGGGTGCCGCGAAAGGAGTTTCACAACGTATGACTCACACGGGCTACACGCACACACAAGCGTCGCAGGTGAGGGTGCCGCGAAAGGAGTTTCACCACGTATGACTCACACGGGCTACACGCACACACAAACGACGCATGTGAGGGTGCGGCGAAAATAGTTGAAATACTTGAAATAGTTGAAATAGTTGAATTCAACTTTCAAGTTTGACACTACTGATAAAATCGCCTGAACTATATGCCTAATATGTTTACGGATTCGGAAAAAGTTTTTCTTTTTTAAAAATTCGTATTGATCTGGATTCTGATTTGAATATTTTGCTATTATCTGTCAAATAGCGAAATTCAGAAGAAATATTTTCAGTTAACTTAAAATTAGAGCTAATTGGACGAAAATTTTATACAGAGTTTCCAATCCTATGTACTTCAAGCAAAAGAAAAATACCCTAGGCACTTATGACTTTGAAAAAAGTACTGTATTTTACATTATTGGAAAGTTACTCGTATTTCTCTTCTTGAAATATTCTAATTCCAAATGGAGCTTGGAAATATTTCTCTTGTACTCTTATCAAATGTATCATTAAAATTTTTCCTTTTTCTTGTTTTAGTTTCGTAATAGGGTGTCATACTAAAAGTTCTGATCTATCTTTTTCATAATTACATATGAAAGAGCATGCAAAAAACCTATAAATTCAGAACTTTAGCCTTCTGTGGATGATCCCTGAATAGATATGGAAGAAGCATTGAAGGTAGTTTCATAAAGTTCTAAATTCATGATCATGCTTTTTGTTGTTGTTTCGTCTTCTCGGTATGTGACTCATTTTTTCTCTAAAAGCTAATCTAATTAACTTGAACAATACCTCAAAAGATGGAACAAATTTTCCTCTACAAGGTTGTATATTTAGATTTGACTTAAATTATTTCTTAACATATCTATGCAGGGTCAATATCTAAACCATAACACAGAAAACATATTACAATTTTTGAAAAAATGTTGTGCTAGTTTTTATTGTTTGTATGAAAAAAAATATCCACAAAATAAGCACGAAATACTTTAATTGTGTCCAAGATACAAAGCAACGCTATGCTTGTTTAACACTTTTTTATGGTATTTTCGAAACTAGTCAATCAAACAAAAATTTGGCTAAGATTTGTTTGCAACGTAAAGACTACAGAATGTAAGACATCTCGAATCTATTTGTCGTGTTTCTTTGACAGACAATCTAGTATGACACAAAAGGGTGTCTAATAAGTTCTGTTCCATTTGAAGTAATACTCACTTCTTATATGATTTCTCAGTAGAATAGGCTGTTATTTACAACATATATTCTAGACGTATAGATCTATTCTACGCTAGGATTTGAGCTGTCAACCTCTTATAGTCATCGAGACACAAGTAACATGAAAAATTTAAAGAAGTTTTTGAATTATTTGTGAGAATTTTTCTATCATATTATTGAAGATGTTAAATTAAACTCAATGGATTGAACGGAATTTTCAAATCGAAATTGTTTAAACATAATAAGCAGGAAAAATACGTCAATGTTAATGCATCTACTCTCCATGTTGATCTATCACTTGTTTCAAGCGACAAAGTAATTTTTCTATCGTTCGACCGCATTTTGCTGGGGTGAGTATTTTTGCACGATTTGATTTTCCAATTCTAATTCGTTTTCAAATCTTTGTCTTCTCAATCTTCTTTGATTGCATCAGGAACTATCTCAATTAATCGAACATCAGCAAATTTTGCATCATCAAGTTCCGGATCAATATATTTGTTAAATAATGATTCAATAGTGTTCACCACAACTGTAGTTCAATTTTTGCTATTCTGATCATCTTGAAAAATAGGTACCAAGTTAGTATTTCTAAGAAGTGACAAATAACACAACGCATAAATGTTTAGAAGAAAACTAAAAGTTACTCTTTATGAAAGATTCATTGAATCACTACTCGGCACTATGTGTAAAAATAATTCTAAAAAATTCCTAAAAATTTGATGCTATTTGTGTCTCTGTGACTATAAAAGATGGAAGGTTCAAATTTTAGGGTAGAATAGATTTAGATGTCTAATATATATGCTGCAAATATCAGGCTATTCTACTGAAAAACACATTAAGAAAAGAATTTTACATGAAAGATATCAAAACTTATTAGATACCCTTTATACTTCAATACTCATCTCGAATCGTGTTTCAGTTTTTGTGAAACACGATTGATCTAGTTCATATTGATATGATAATGCTTTTTATATGCATGACAATTCATCACAAAATCACACGAGAATCATCTCCACGTGTCTGAGCTGGTCCGTGATAGGAGCAAAAATGCTGCATTAGAAGACTGAAAAATATCTTTTTTGAGGTTAGGATTTACAAATCAACTCGAAGTTCAAAATATAAAAAACCGATCGTCCAAGACACCCCAATCCCACTGTACATATTCACCACCACCAACCTACAACACAGCCATATTCAAACCAAACCCACACTTGCAACGTTTTTGTATTATAGTTATAGGCTTAAAGAAAACTTAGAAAAGCATATAAAAAAAGGAAATACACCAAAAGTATCACATCTCGGTACTCTTAATATTTATCGGAATTCTTTTTCGAGATTTTATTCGATATATAGTTCGAAAAAAAATAATATATGCTTTTTGAAAAATATGGTTTGGTTGTTGAGAAAATCCATTTTTTTCGATATGGTAGCGAAAAAAGTCATAAATGTGGGTCTATATTCTAAGAATTTGACCATCAGAACTTCAGCTCTGCAAGAAACTAATGTAATATTCAAAACTAGCACGAAAATCTGCATTCAATACTATACTCAATGCTCAAAATTAATTTTCGTCATATTTCAATTTTTAGAAGGAGCACAGGTCAGAATACTCGAAAATAACGGTAAGCGAATGTAGAGAACTGTTCTCACATTTATCAATTATTTCGAATGGATATATAAGATTACTTTTAATATTACCTTGATTAGAATGAATTGTATTCTATTTAAGTCACAACCAAAATGAAAGATTCATTTATATCATGAGAATATTCAAGTTGTTGATATTTTATGTGATCTGGTGTCAATTAAATCAAATTTTGTGCATGCTTAATATTGATTCATTTTCTGATCATTTTTCTGAAATATTACTTAACCTATTGCAATAGAACCAACCTATGATTTATGTTATTTCAGCATTATTTATGCAAAACAACATTTAATACAATAAAAACCTTCACATTTATAACATTTACATAAATGACAATTAAGTTCACCACACTCGTCGCAATTCTGACAGGGACTACAATGATGTTCACAGTTATGAAAACGGCTAGCAAACCTAAGACAATATTTGTTCTTATGGTCACCAGGACAACGATTAGCACAACGTTTATATGGACACTTGAAATGCTTTCGAGGCACAATAACGTTGCTTTTGATCGAGCTAGAAAGGTGATCTAAATATATGTTATCATAATTATATATTAGTTTACAAATAAAAGAACTTTATTCTACATCTGGAATTCATATAGATAGAGAAAATGAAAATATCAATTCTTCCGATGTAGTAAAATAGTTCAATAGCAAAGAAGAGAGTGAGAAAAAGAATAACAAATTATGTAACGATCACAGAAAACACAAAGCAATTGATTTTGTGTGCAACATGTAGAAAGTGTGAAGAGTGTTAGGATTTCAATCCTATTAGTACTCACCAATCTCTCTGACTGCATGCAGAATCCATGAATTACAAGCATCGACCATAACATGTTTTGATACTTCCAGTCGTATGCCTGGCCACATTATCGCTTCTTGCAAGTCATTAGCTGTATGACCAGTTAGCAATTTTCCATTTACAGATTGATAACCTACAAGAATTATCTTCTTACCAACAGTTTTTTGAAGATAATTCGTAATTTCATTTGCCGAGAGTGAACATGAACACATAGAAGAATACACTGATAATGGCTCTGAACTGAGTTGCTCTTCGAGCTTTTCATCAAATGGTGCTCCCTGCCAAATTTCTGCTTTTGCAGTAGGTAATTTATCAAGTGCGCTTTTAAATAATTTGAGATACTTGAACCATGGTTTGAGTGTAGATTGATCTTTAGAATTCAATGCTGCTTGCAAATGATCATGAAGACACCAATCGCCCCATTTCATTGTATAAATATAGATAGCAGCTGATTCATCATGATTCAGATTATGTTCTGATGGATAGTGACATTTCATTTTCGCTTCTTTGATATAGTGAGATAATTGATCAATTTTACCGTCGAAAGGTTCAAGAGCTTCTTCGAGAGACAGAAGTGGTTCATTGAGATAACCATCGATAAGTGCGAGATGATTGTTTGATTTTATGCCAATCTGGATATATTGAGGTATTGGACGATATTCAGATGATACACTTTGATGTTTCTTGGAACAGCAACAACAACCTGCACCCATCTTACTTGTAACAATTTGTGAAAATGTCGGTATCTGATTTTCTTTAGGAAACTACGAAAAATACATTGCTCGTATGACAATTCTACATTTCTTCATCGTTACTACTAACAATCAGCAACAATGGCAACAATTATTGTTTTCTATATGGCGTGCATCACAAATGAGAGATTTTTAATAATGTATCGTGCTATTAGAAAGTAGAGCAACCATTGCTATTTTGCACAAATACCCGTACGCAATTTCTTTCATTTTCTTTTTCGATGAAGAAAAAGTAATGATTGACAGTATTTTAAATTTAACAAAGTTATGTGTTACAAAAACTTAATATTTTATCCAAAACTGAGCGACAATTTATAATCATTTGGTACATTGTTCTGCAAATATAGGGGCTGTTTTAAATAGTACTGGACCATTTACATTATTTAAAACTAGAGTAGGTGTGAATGTGGATGTGAGTCTGAGTGTAAAGAGGATTCATACAAGCATGACACACTTTCTTCTATTACTAAACTTGCTAAATCAATCTTGCATGAGCAATCTAAATTCGAGATCAATGTTGACCGACTCGTAAGGGTAAACAGCAAAATGAAAAAGAGAAAAGTTCATGCGAATCAGTGCTGCTTGCAGGCCAGGCCAGATCGCAGTTTGTCGCCTGTGTAATATACAGTCAAATTTTTATGTATTGATCAATTCTGATTACAAATCGTGTTGTAGGTTTATGATAGTTTGATAAATTTGTTGAAGTGAAAGTTTTCTTTAAACTCTGTTCATGAAAGTTAAAATAACATATATTAATTCTAAGACGACTAATTTGTGGTATGCCTCGATTCCCATCATTCTATGCGAGTTTTGTTGTGTGCGGAATAGTAAATGTATCACTTCCCTCTATATGGTAGTGAGTGACAGTAGTGTATATCAATAATGTCAATTTTTCTCATCGTCTGTAGTTTAGCTTTAACTGCGAAGTTTTAAAGTAGCTAGCGTCTAACTCTGATAGGCTAAGTCAATTCAAAAGGCTGAATATATTCTTGATGATAGATGATTCATTTTAACTAAGTTACTTTTATTTTCAGTTTTACATGAGCTTATGATTGAGCTCGAGTATGCCTCAATAGCCAAGAAGAATGAAAGCGCATCAGGAATGGAAATGATTAGTAATGCAATTCTGTTATCATTCAATCGACGAAGGTAAGAAGAAAATGCTTCTAACCGACACTAATAGTATTTTCTCTTTGTCAGTTTGCATGATTCCTTTCTGATGATGCATATTTTTTATTGTTATTGAACACTAATGATGAAATTGGAACTAATTTAGAAGCATAGTTCTTTGTATAGACAAGACTGTATGCTTTAATTTTCTATTTAGCGGAAGAGCATGTAATTTCATCATCTTAATTGAGAAGAAGTAAATATGTGATCGAGACTAGCCGGACAGAATGAGAAAATATCTGACGCAATTTTGTACAATTGTTCTCTTTCTCGTAGAGAAGAGTTCAACAAAGATAAATTGTCGTGTTGTTTGTGTATCAGTAATGTGTTCATTAGTCAAAACAGAACGAAAAAGAAAAACGAACTACTTGAGAAAGTCGATTTATATGAAAACGAAAAAAAAGATGCAGTTACTACTTACTAAAATATAAGATATTATTTTTTGGCTTTAAATAAATAAAACTTATTGATTATTATGACTGTATCTTTCTTTCGTTTTCATATAAAAATGAACTACATTATTTTCTAAAAAATAAGTGAACAAAAGAGAACTGAGCTTGAAGAATACAACTTCTAGGTTGGTTTAAATTTAAATTTTATCAACTATTTATTAATTATTAAATTTATTAATTGATGTTTTTCAATAATTTGCTAATAGTCAAGAAAAAGCACTCCGACAAGAAAGAGTTAAGCGAGTCCACACACAGGCGTTAGTCGTACTCACAAATCTAGTAAAAAAATTCAAGAAGTTTACTATTATCTGGCAAAACCTACAATCTAGACCAGACCACAGACCAAACTGAAAAGTAGCCTGTTGGCAGCTCTGACGCGAATCCTGATGCACGACTGAAAATAATCTCGTTGTCTTATAGTATCGATAATATCGAGGAATATTTAGCTCAGATTGCTTTGAACTTGAAAATAAGTACTTCTCATTAGTAAGATAAATTATATCTCATATTGCTATGATGAAAATGAATGGTCATAATTTAGAATGAAATGTAAAGAGGTGAAAAGTAATTGGGATAGACAGTGTAAGACACAACGTTATGTGCCAAAGTAAACTGCCACCATGCCGTCAATCCTACTTTCTTTAGTAGTTGAATTCTCAATCCTGGTAACATTGGAGCACACCCCAGTCATTAGTCTGTAACAAGAATAGATACATTAACATTTAAATGACAAAAAGAACCAAAAAACATTTATTTTATATTAACTCATTAATGCGTTTCGTTTTTAGGAAGGTTGTATAATTCATTTTTAAATCTTTAGTCCTTCTTTGATTAATTATTGATTAGATATGATATATAAAGTGTTATTTTTATTTTTTTATGATTATTTTTATGCTACATTATTTTGTTTTATTTTATTTCTATTTATACTTTACAATTGTATATTTTGTATTCTATATGGTTGTATATCATATTTTATATGTTGCACATATTCATATGTTATATTTTATAAGTTTCAGTATAGTTGTAAATAATACAATAATAATTTACAATAATAAATAAAAATAACAATTTATATGTTATATCTAATCAATAATGAATCAAGACAGAGCAAAAATTTTTAAAATGAATTGTACAGCCTTCCTAAGACAAAACGAATTTAGAACCCTATATGGAAACAGAATATACGCCATCTCAAGAAACATTGACAATTATTATCATAAGAAGTCAAACTTGATGAACGCATTCAATTCCTTAAAAAATGTAAACGGAATTAACTAATACCAAATGGCTTACATTTAAAAACAACTATTGTCGGCGCCAGAATTAAATAGGGGTGGGTATAAGCTCAATAACTCGACAACCGCAATAGCTAGCGACCTGCGGTTTTCGTCAATCGAAAGAGGAGGATTTGGGACGCCTTTTTCTCTGATAATGTATAAGACGAAAACCTTTTAAAACTAATCATATTCGAAAAGCATGCAAAAGAACCCATGAAAATGATCTGCCAGCTCGATGAAATTTAGATTTTGACGTTTGATTTAGATAGAGGGACTTGAGATCTATACTTCAAGACACAATGCACTTTCTTACTTTTTCTTACATTTTCATCGAAATCTCAAGCTACTAAGANGTTAATTAAGTACATACGTGCAGAAAAATGTATGAAAATCCTTTATGTTCTATTCTTAGAAGAAAAAGAAAATAGATCTTCAACTCTTAACTTAAACTAAGAACTTTTTTTTGGTTTTTATTTATTTATTTTTATTCAAATGACAGTTATGTTTTATCATTATAAATAATGAACGAAGAGTTTAATGATTTTATCCGAACCAATATTAGATGAAAGTTTTTCTGTACGTATGTACTTAATTAACTATAGATTGATTTATTATTTATAGAAGTTCTTAGAAAAAATGTTTATTTATTTAAAGTATCTCTTGGAATATTTTGATAAAACAATATAATTCTCTTAAAAATATAAACCGAATGATATATATATATAAATAAAATAATATCTTCATTTATTTGTTAGGTAAATGACCTTCTCTATTCTGTTTTCTACTTTTATCTGAAAATTTTCTATTATGAAAGAAAAGCAAAAATAATTTAATTTGTAAACAATAAAAAATAATTTAAGATATAAATGTAAATAAATTAGTGAGAATGATTTATTTGAAGTAATCTTATTGATTTAATATTTATATCTTAAATAATTAGAAAAGTCGAATAGAATAAAAAAAAGAACAAACTTGTTATAATGATTCTATTGTTTTGAATTAGTCTATATAAATATTTTCGTTCGTACTCGGCTTATGTTTATTATCTTCCGTTTGATAGTTTGTTTAGTCGTTCTTATCCTAATTAGTGATTATTAAACAATGAAAAAACAAAAAAAAGGTCACATATAGACGCGATGCTTAACAAGTGGTTAAACATTGTTCTTCTGAATTGTATTATCGAGACAATCCTATTATTTTTCGTTCTCTTTCTCAAACTAAACAATCAAATAAAATGTTGATCATCATATAGTAACATAAATCCATTTCTAATAGAAGAACAATGTGGTGGTAAGACAATATCTTTATAAAATGATTTTTATGTTAGAGAATAAATTAAGGTGGACAAATTTTTTAATCAATAAATCATATTTATTAATATTTGTTCTTATCATTCGACGAACAATTGGATCTTTACATTATTCAAGTATATATATTATAAATAATATTTGTCAAATAATAAAAAAAAAAAAAAAAAAAAAAAAAAAAAATTTTTTTCTTAAGATATTCATCTTCAAAATTGGACAAATCCATGTGAACCAAATCCATGTCGAGCTGGTACATGTGAACTTGTTTCGAAATTAACTTTTAGTTGTCATTGTATTCCTGTAAGTTAATTTAGTTTTTTTTGTTCTTTGAAATAATATAAAATATTTTTTGTTTTTTGTTTTCAAAAATGTAAAATAATTAGTATGTTCATGGTTCATTGTGTGAAAAATTAAATTATGCTCAAAAATCATGTGAAAGTAATCCATGTTATAATCAAGGTTTATGTTCACCAATATCATCAAAAGGATCTTCATTATTTTTATCATCAAATAATAATTTTATGTGTCTTTGTTCATCAAGACATGCTGGAAAACTTTGTCAAGAAAATGTCGGAGAATGTTCTTGTTTAAATGGAGGAATTTGTTATAATAGTAAGATTTTAAAAATAATTATTTTATTTAATAAATAAATAAATAAATAAATAAATGTTTAGTATCAAATGATGGATATAAATGTTCTTGTCCAATAATGTTTACTGGACCATTTTGTGAACATGATTTACGCAATACAACATTTTGTAGTCATTCTCCATGTCAACATAATGGTACATGCATTTTAGTTCAATCACCAGCTGGAATTTGTCTATGTCAACCTGGTTATATTGGAGAATTCTGTGAAAAACGTATTCCATTTTGTCAAGAAAATCCATGTAGAAATAATGGTTTGTTTTTAATCAATCAGAAAATAAAAATAAAATTGAATTAAAATACTAATTTTTCTTTTTATTTATAGGAACATGTGTACCATTATCTGGTGTTGATGGTCAATGTCTTTGTCAACCATCTTTTTCAGGTCGTTTATGTGAATATCCTCAAAGAACATTTTGTTCAATTGATCCTTGTAGAAATGGTTCAACTTGTATTGTATTAAATCATACAGGTGATGGATTTTGTTTATGTCCACCTGATTATGCTGGTCCTTATTGTGAATATATAACACCAACAGCTTGTAAAAAAAATTGTCATCATAATGGAGGAAAATGTGCTTTAATTGACAATAAATATGGAAGATGTTTATGTCCAAAAGATGTTACTGGATCTTATTGTGATACACCACTTCATCCATGTGCACCAAATCCATGTGGTTTGTTAAAATATAAATTTATCTAATTATTTTAATAGAAATAATTTCATTATGATTTTCTATATAGAGAATAATGGAATATGTGTTCATGAAACAGTTAGTCAAACATATAAATGTTTATGTACATATGGTTATTCAGGTTTAAATTGTTCAGAAAATTTAAATAAATCATTTTGTTCATTACATCCATGTATGAATAATGGAACATGTCTTCAATCTCCAACAAGTCCTGATGGTATATGTAGATGTGAACAAGGTTTTGGTGGAAAATATTGTGATGAAATAGTTAAATGTGGTGAACAACAATGTCAATATCCTGAACAAGTTTGTTTAGCTGATAGTTGTGTTAATGTAACAGGAGAACTTTATTGTCTTTTACATGAATGTCAACATGGTGGAACATGTGATATAATAACACGACAATGTTTATGTGAAAAAGGTTTTGGTGGACTTAAATGTGAATTAAAAAGTTTATTTTGTGATGAAACAAAAAATGTTTGTCAAAATAATGGAACATGTCTTGCTACACAAAGTCGTTGTCTTTGTACAAATTATTTTACAGGAAAATATTGTGAAATTTATCTTCAATTTAAAAAACATTGATTATTATTAAAAACTTTTTATCATTTTATTGAAACTTTTAATGTATTTCATTAAAGAATAAAACAAAAATTTCTTTTATTATTATCCTTTCAAATAAAATAATCTTAATATATAATAAAAAAAACAAAAACAAGATGAATAATTCTATTGAAAATAAACGATATATATACGTGTATATTATGTTGACTTGTTTTGTTTTTTTTACCTGACTAATATTTAAATGTATTTTTTATTATTTCATTGATTCGTCTCTATATAGAATAATCGTCTTTGATATTGTTTCTTTATTTCTATCATTAACATTTACCTGTGTGTTATTGTCATTTACACGTCAAATGAATGTTACGACGCAAAATATGCAAGGGTCTCAGCATATCATATTTTCATATCAATGGAAGAATCAAAGTTTAGTATCAAAAATTTTTTTTTATTTAACAAAAATTCAACCAATATCTGTTTGGATGGATAAATATGGAGGAATTAATGAATGTCTTAGTACAAGGTTAATTTAATTTTCGACTTATCTATAGATGATCTTCTGTCAAAATAAACAATAAAATGTTGGACAAAACAGAATACTTTGTGAGAGGAGTTTAGTTAAATTATGTATGTTCGTTTATCGCTGAAAAACTGTAAAATAGTAGCAATTTCAAGACAGCAATACAATGTTTGGATTTTTTCGATTTCGATTGTAATTGAGCAGCGTTGATCGCTGGATCCAATCATTGTGTTCTTACTTACAAAGTTCCTACTATTTTCCAGAGTTATCTAAGCAGAAATACACGAAATCATTGACCTGAGGCAAGACAAATCTTTAGACATGTTAAAATATTTTATCTAATAAATAATTTTTCTTTTTCATGAAATATATATATTTTTTTTTAATGAGCACTTAGAATGGCAAAGGAAGAGTTCACTACCACCAGATCTTATCAATAGAGCTTTTTAATCAAATAGAATTCTGAACAATCCAGCAAAATTTCTTTCTTAAACGGATTCAGTTTGTCCGAAAACGTTTGAATCCAGTTAAAAAATGATTCTGATAACTTCGAATGATGATTTATTTTCTTCTTAACAGTTAATTAATGATTTGTTATTTAATAAAAAGAAAAGATTTTGTTGTAGAAAAGATTTTTTATCAGAATTTTTTTTTTCTTAAATCGAATTTATCGGAATGTCTTTTTTGAATGATTCAGTTTCGATTTGAAGCTAAATAGACGCTTTTTTTTAAAATTTAGTATGGCTGAAGGTGTTGAAAACTGTTGTGTATTTGTTTGTTTTTTAACGGCAGAATATTAAGAATCGTTAAATTGTAAAAAAGAATTAACTTATGCCGTTCAACTTCATAAACCAATAATTCTCTGTATTGTTGGAACTGAAAATAAAAATGAAAAATGGAAACCAACGCAATGGTTAGGTCTGACAATAGCTGATCTTATTTATTTAAATTTTATTAATATAAATGAAATTAATTTTGAAAATCATTGTCAAGAATTAATTGATAAAATGAATTCTATTCTTGGAATAAGACAATCCCAATCTCTTAAACAATCAATAATAACTAAACAATATAGTGATGAAGAAGATTTTCAAATAAGTTCTTCTTTAATTTTTTCAGAAATAATTCATGAAGGTCCTCAAATCAATGATGAAATATCGGAAATAATTCCGAAAAAATATTTAAGTGAAGGTGATTCCGTTATTCGTTTAATTAATCAATCAAAAGAAATTGAATGTAATCAAGATTTATATAATAGAAATGGTCGATTTTATAATTCATTTACATTTCCTCATTTTATTTTTCATAATACGAGTTCAGAATTTGTCGGTATTTTACAATTATCAGCTGAATATGAAAATATTTGTGATAATTCTAATAAATGGATTTCTTGTCAATTGATCATAAATCAAGATCAACAAATAATTAATATTGATCCAAATAAACTTGTTCTATGTTCAATAATAATTAAAATTGAATTAAATGGTTCACCGGGAGTTGATAGTCAACATCGTTTTCGAGCACATCATCTTTTACCTCAACCACTTAAACTTAAAATTAATATTGAAGATACAAAAATGAAACATTCTAGTCTTATTCTTGAACAGATTTATTTCAGATTCTTTTTTTTTCTTTTTTTAAATTAATTATAATAAAAACTTTTAATTAATTCAATAATATTATTTAGATTAATCGACCTTTGAATTTACCAACATTGAAAAAATTAATTGATCGATTAAATATATCTCAATCAAATATTCTTGGTTTTGTTTCAGCTGATGACTGTTTGATCGAAATTCGATATTTTGCTTTAGTTTATTATTCAAATGATGATGAAAAATATTCTATTCAATTTTCATTTGGTTGTGATCTTTACGGTCTACGTTCTCCATTATGGGATAAACAACATATTAAAGAATTACAAAAAATAGCAAAACAAGAAAAAAAATCTAAATTGATTGTTCATGAACATGTATTTGATCCATTTATTCATTGTTTAGCATTGTTTTATAATCAATATAGACTTCAAGCTATTAAAATTAAGATTAAAACAAATACATCGATCACTATACAAACAATTCCATTACCTATTAAACAAATTTTTAATGAATCTTAATTCTTTAAAATTATTTTTATTACAAAAAAACGCTTATGAAGAAATAAAAATTATCTTTTTACCTATACAAACTTTTTCAATGCATATTCATTATTTGAGAATTATTAATTTTAGTGAATATATCCTAATAAAAAATCAAATGAAAAACATTTTTTTTGTTAAATGATAAATATATCTCATTATTCTCATAATACTTTATTATTTTCTAAGCATGAACATCTTATTGCAATATCCGCGAAAAAATTTACACGATGGTTTTTTTCATAACCGTACCCTAATTTAGCAGACCTGACTCAGGATGGCCATCAAGCCCACTTAAACTTTGATAAAACTCAGGTTAACAGCTCTTTGAGGAACGGTGTAGTGAACTTTAATAAATTCCATTACTCCGATGTCACTTTGCAGTTACACAGCTATTAGGAAAATTTTAAAAAAAAGAAATGTTAGAAATAGTTGAGCACGACATCTTGGTCGTCCTTACGCATCCTCTCATACTTCAATATGACTCGCATGAAAAAGGTAGGTGTGAATATATGTATATCAATGAAGATAAGACTACCACACAAACTTACATTCATCATTTTTCGGAGTTCTTCGACTTATTTTCTTGAAAAATCAAGTTTTTGAGATGGATCTAATGGGGAAAAAGCGAGACTCCATCAGTTGAAATATAGTGAAGTCTATTGTTTGAAAAAAAATAAAAGGCGAGTGGCCATTTTTTGAATAACTGTTGATAGGAACAAGATAGAGAGCTGTGGTTTTCACCATTTGAAAGAGCGATGTCCGGGCCATCGATCAGTATAGAACACATTAAGACGAAAGTTGCTTTTTTTATAGGTACCTTTGAATGAACACTTTTTTCTAAGTATTTCATCAATTTTCACGATAATTTCAACTCAAACTATGTCAAAATGTATCTCAGATTATCCGTTTTCTTCTATAAAATTATCACATATTTCATTATCTCTCAACCTCTTATTCTAAATGGATTTAAAGAAAACAAATGTTAATTTTATAGCGAAAAACGGATGATTTGAGCTAGGGTTTCACATAATTTCAGTTGAAATTATTGTGAAGATTGATGAAAATACTCAAAGAAAAAAGTGTTCATTCAAAAATACCTATAAAAAAGCATCTTTCATCTTAATATATTCTATACCAATTGATGGCTCGGACATGGTTCTTTCAAATGGTGAAAATCGAAGCTCTATATCTTGTTCCTATCAAAAGTTGTGCAAAAGATAGTCACTCGCCTTTTATTTTTTTTTCTGACAATAGATGAAGTACGCGGAGTACGTACTCACTGGACTCCACTGTACTTCAGCTGTACTCCAACTAATGGAGTCTCGCTTTTTCCTCCTTGAGTGTAAGCCTTCTGAGGAGGAATAAATAAACCACAATGTTTTTATTCTTATCTCATCATTTTAATATTTCAGCATTAAATTATCATGTGCAAACTAAGTCTCAATATATTTTCAATCTCAATCGACGTCAAAGTTTTTTGAACTATTTTTTCTTAAAAAGTAATTACTCAATTAATTTTTTTGTCCACTTATGATGCTGCTGCTAAGAATTTATCAAATATTTC